CGTTACGATTGAGGAGATAAAGACGGCAACGAAGGAGGAGTTGAATAAGAAGATAACAAGTGAAGTGTTTCGAGGATTGAAAAAAAAAATATTGGCCCAAGTGTATAATATTTGGTGGGGATTACTTTGAAGGTAACAAAATAGATATTTTGAATCATTTTTGAAAACACAAAATTCGCGATACTTTTTGAGCAGACCTTATATATCGATGCGAGTGATCGTGAGTATTTTCTACTGTCTCCCAGTGTATACGTTCGTTCTACGGTGAACAATTTTCTTCCACCTGATTGACCACAGCTAGCGCTAGACGTGAACCCGCTCTGTGAGCAGAATGCAGTTTTATGGAATTAGTTAACCGAAACGTCGCATCGTCTCCTGGATTAGTTTTACGCTAAGTTGGGCTCTCTCTGGAGAGCGTATAAGTTTCATCGGATTTATTTACGACCACGGTTCAATTGAGTTACACTTTTATCTATGTACATAATGAAAACATCACAAACTTTGTATTACATAATAGAAAACTAATTTACGAAGATGGATGAAAACTTATTTAGGAGATTGTTCAGTGTATAGGGTTCATTAAATACAAGTAACCTCAATATCTGGTAATTATTTACACTAGAATTCATGTTATAAGATTCCCTTCCTCAAAAGGAAAATGGAACTACTGATGGGACCACTCATATGTCCGATCTTCCCAAAAACCAGCCTTCGTAAAAGCTTAAGGTTTGACATTTTATTAACCCTCATACATTGCTGTATTTGCTTAACACTTGTCGATAAATATAATAATTAAAAAGGAGACAAATAATGTAGTCCAATATTTTTTAAATTTCATGTATTATGTGAAGGATTTTACAAAAAATGGCTTGGAATAAGGCATCATCACCACCACTCTTGTCTATTATCATTTCCGAAAAACTACAAAATCCCACTACGAGGCATTAAAAAGTACATTCCTTCGCTGTTCAGTTATTGCTGTTTTTATGGTATAAGTTTGAATCGTTTCAGTCATTTAAATAGAAGCTGTCGACCCGTCTTCCGTTTCCTAATAAAAACAATGCTACTTAAGCTATGGAATTTTATTTTTTATTTTCAATATAAGTACAGGCAAATGCCCATTTACATGTTTAGGAAATATATACAGGTGTTTAAACAATATATCAATTTTATAATAAATTTATCATAAAACTTTCGTTATTATAACAAAATAAATTTTGACTCTATCTCAATTGATTAATTCGACGTATAGTGAACATTCTGTGATTCATTCTACAGTAAAAACGGCTTTGCAAAATTTCCTAATGGAAATTTCAGTCTTCAGGACGATTCACGTCCTAGGTCAGTAAAAAAAAATTAACCACAACGTTTTGCTGGACGAAAATCTGTCAGACTCCAGAAGAGCTTGCAGAACAGTTAAGAGTTACTTAGTAATCGATTGCAGTTAGTGGGAAAGATACAGAAGGAAGAAATGTTTTACGTATAACACCTTTCCTCGTTCTCTGATAATTTACCACTGATATGTATCCATCGTGTAACATTTTGTATTTAATGTGATAATATTACAAAATTTTAGACAAAAATTGTCCCCCTTCTCCACCACTCAAGCATAGGCTGTTAGTCCAGTAATTATTCGAAGTTATAAGTATTTTCTTGTTCTTTTAGATCACTACTTAGTTGAAATAAAGATCAATCATCGTTCTTGGAAAATATCTCCGGGATGTCTTCCTGTGATAGACATTTTTGTGTATTTTGGTTTATCATTTGTGACACAAAACTAATTTAGCTTCACTTCATCATCATAAGGGTCGTCAGTTCTAAGACCGGTTGGACACGCACCTCGATTCTTTCCTATTCTGAGCTAATTTTCGCATTTACCTAAGAATAGAACATCCCTCATCCTTAACTATTTGCGAACAGCAATCTAATCTTGGTCTGCCTCTATTCAGCTTAACTCCCATTTCTGCCTCTAATATATCTCTGGCTAGACCTTCATGCCAGAGAAGGTGTCCTACCCACCTATCTCGCCTATTTTTTATTCACTTCCATAGAGTCCTCTGTTCTCCTATTCTTTCCAATACCTCTTCATTTCTAACCTTCTATATCCACGGTATCCTCATCATTCGCCTGTAACACCACATTTCGAACGCTTCTAACCTTTTCTTTGCGCGCGCCCACCATCCAATTTCTTTTTATCTTTACATTCGCTCTTTTCCTACTTTTTCTTCCTTTGCATACCAATATTTTAGTTTTACTTTTATTTATTTTCATAGAATACTGTTTTGTCAATACCGCTTCCATTTTATTTAAAACTCTCTAGCTCCTCCTTGCTAGATGTTAATACTGCGATATCATCTGCAAATCTAAACATACTCATCTTTTGCCCCTTTATATCTGTCCCTATAGTCGGACTGTCTTTAATGGTGTTGATCGCGTCTTCGATGTATACATTAAAAGGTAGCGGTGACAGTATGCATCCTTGTCTAACTGCTTTCCTTATATTTTCTTCTGTAAGTTGCTTCACTTAATAATAATTTCAAATTGGGTCAGATGTCAGTAACAGTAAAGTGCGAAAAATGTGACCCATTATAGTTTCTCGCGTTTGGATGAGTTTGAAATTTTCCTGTTGGCTTGATGGTGCGATAAGTGTTTAAAAATAAAATAAAATCGAAGTACCTTTATCGAATTTGGTGCTTCTACGCGAATAAATGTGTGTGTATACGTACTTGGATGCATTCAATAAATAAGTCTCCCGAGGCGGGACTTTCGTCTGAAAAATTGCCTTTGGTCTCCGAAGACGTAGAAGATATTCAAACTTGATTTCCACTTAATTTCGATTCCCGGACCGTTCGGGTCGCCTTTCCGAAGAAAGAACCAATAAAGGAGAAATTGTGTTATCATAAATTTTCCTTAGTTTTCTCGTTAGAGGAGAGTAACTTCTTCTGAATTGCTTTCAGATTAATTAGAAACCCTGCGAATTTTCTCGGTTTTGCTGTTTCTTCTCCACTGCGACGTAATAGGTAAAGAGCCAAGTCAATAAAAAGTAAACTCAATGAATGTGAAATTTTGTTTTTTGCATATTTTTACTAAATAAATAGATAACTCTTATTGGATGAAGTGGATATTGGAAAATAAAAAACCCAAGCAGGTATTTTACTGAGCGACAGTTGAATCTATTCAAATTTGGGCGGATGGGTATCGTTTTCGATGGTATACACTAGTGATGCAACGGAAGTCTCATAACGGAAACACAAGTAAATAGTAAATTTTTGCGAAAGCGGAAACAAAAGCACATGCGAAAGCGGAAAAACACTCTACACTGAAAAAAAAGTATAGGTACCGTAGAAATTATGTGAAAATTACTTTCTCGAAAAGTCATATAGTAATAATGAATTTAATAAGAGAATAGAATTTGGGAAATATTAACACATAAAATACTTGAAAGTAGATTTAGGTCCTAAACTATTACAGAAGCCCACAATAAAAAGCAATGCCCCCCGTAGGCAGGGGTACATCACCCACGGGCGGCAAATTACAAGAAATACTGTATTCAAAGGTCATTTTCCTCAAAACATAAAATATGCCAGCTATAGCGCTGTACATTGTCTCTAATATTTCATAAACATAAGCGATTGATAATATGTTCACAATGTAGTGGAATCGCTACCAACAAACAATTCCGTTTAAATTGTGTTTTGAAAATGGTCACGTTCAGTCAATAGATAAAAATAATAAATTTTTACAACTTGTTTTATTGTACTGATACATTGATTTTCAGAAAGAGAAATAAGAGTTAGTTAAGATCCGATAAGCTTCCATTATAAAAATGCGGAACCAGATGCAGAAATAGATGTGGGAATGTATACGGAACTTCCGCAATTGCAGAAGTGAAAGCAAAGATCTGTTGCAACACATACTATATTTCATTTACTTTCTCTAGCGACGAGCCCCTTCCAATGTCTTGGATGCGCGCTGGCAAAATCGTAGGTAGGGAGAAAAAAGCTCGTTATACTCTCGCTTCTTGTTCATTAAACATACTTCTTCATACAGTACCTGCCAATAGTTTTGTTGAATCATGAATAGTAATACGAGTCGAAAACAAGCGTTAAATCCTTTAATATGTCTTCAAATATAAACAAACATCTCGTTGATATTTTCACTAGTAAATGGTACCAATAACAGCACATTTGAGCAATGAAATTGTAGTGGATAAAATGGTCAACTTTTCCGTGCAGTACTGTACGGATTATACGCTCCTCACCGGTTAAGAGTTTGGCCGAGAGTTGTCTCCTTCCTTTTCTGGCCTAGTGCTGTTCTTTTCTACTTTGCGCCGGTCAAACTGAAGGTCACATCGCTACAGAAAGTAAACGAAGTATACCACATATATATTAACCGCGATGAGATTCCTGGACAGTTATTCTCATTCCCGAAGTAGACGTTTTAATAGTTTGTTTATTCAGGGAGTCATATTATCAGAAGAGATAGCTGCACAAGTTTTCGTTGCAAACGTAACTACATGTAACTATAACCATTAGCGCATTATTATATGTATACCTGGTACGTGTGTGTGATCCAATTTATTATCTTTTACACTAGGTACCTCTAGTTATGTCTAACAGGAAAATAAGCTGAATGGTATGCATATGAAATTAATTGCCTATAATTTTCGGGAACAACTTCTATTGTATTCTCTGTAGGCGACATGCTGTTGCCATTGGTTTATTATTATTAATTATTTATTAATTTTGAGCATTCGCGAGCACATCACTTTGAGTAGTAAATATCAGTAACGAACAGGACCATTACTTCTTTGATTGATTCGTATACATTGGATAACGCAACGGCAGTCTCTCAGAATTTTTACGGTATTTGACAATGTTTTCAAGTTAACTTTCTTATCAAAGCTATTTACTTTGATGTTCTAGTAAGTAAATAAGTAATTGATTGGCAGTGCCTAAGGCTTGTAAGATTTTCTAGAAATTAATTTAAAATGTACTCACTTGTGATAGTTTGCGTCGCTTCTATAGATCTTCCGCCTCCGTCTTCAGATTGATTTTGAGTCAGTCGCAGGGTAATGTTGAAGGGCCTTTCGGTGGTAATTGATTCACCCTGAAGGGTTACGAAAACGGCCGTAGTTTTTCCTGGCACAGCTACTTTTGGAACCACTACAGAGAATCCCCTATAAATCAAAAAAAAAAAATATTGATCTACTTATCGGAAATTTATACAGTTTTAGAATTTTATAGATACAATTCCCGTTGCTACATTTATAAAATGCTAAGTTGGTTTAGGAAGTATGTATGACAGAATAATTAAATGAAATTCAAGATAAAAGGTCATGATAAAGGTCAACACTTTGGAGCACTATGCATATTACAGGTATAAGCATCATGTTCTGTCAGTAAATATTAAAATACATTATAGTTAAAAAAACTAAAAAACACGCTTTAATAGCAAATCGAACTAAATAGCAGAAAATAATTTTTAATTACTGATATTTTATTCAACAGTCATAGAACGTCTACAAACTCAATATGCTTAAATCATTTTCAGTAATTCTAAAATCAAAATAAAGTAATAAAAAGAAAATTACTGTTCGTTTCAGGAAGTTAGAGATATGCCCCTTCCCTTTATTAAGATGCGCCGTAGCATAATTCGAAATTCAATCATATTTCTCTGCGGAGCTCATTTCTCCACCGATCATCGAGCGAGATCTAGACAAAAGTGTACAGTACCATTTGCAAAATTATTTAAACTGCCTCTTTAAAATTTAGGAATATGCTTTATTTAAAGGCATATTTAGCCAAAAATAATAACAAGTGAATTAACTTAACGTTCTATACAGCTATAAAACTTTTGCTTTGTTTTCTATTGTTAATTTGTATACATTTTTGTTTTAAGAAATTGCTAAACATTTTCGTCTAGTACTGTACAGTTCTAGCCGATCTCCTAAGACC